ATATATATATATATATATATATATAAACACATGTGCATTAACGCGTACTCGACTCCCTCTTTCTTATTTCATTACAAAACCAACTAGTGGATTTTTTTGAGAATTCAATATAATGTTTCTCTTATCGTATTCTATCAAACAAAAAAAAATTGGTAGGTTTCTAAACTTGTTTTGTGTAGAACTTTTATACTACCTTATTGAAAGGTGAATATTTGAAGTAAATACCATATGATATTTTCAATTAAAAAAAAATGAAATTTTATGTGTATCAAAAATTAAAGATCTCCAAGTTTTTGTCAATGGACACCGTTAAGTTACCCAAGATATAAATGTATTTCTTAGTTTTTATTTTACTTAGTAAAAAATCGTTCAAGATTTTTGCAATATTATCCGTGTGCATATTTTATTATTAAATTCATTTTGATATTTAATTAAGATGTTCATCACTAAACATCACATCTTTTTTATAATTGTGAAATGAAGATACAGTATAGTAAGTGATATTAATAATAGATATAATAATAACAATAACAATTAATCAATTATAGACTAAGACGATCATACGGTCAAAATTTATTTTTCGAATAAATTTTTAGCCCGTACAGAACAAAGGCTCAAGGCCCTCATCAAATTCTGAATATAAACAATAATAACACAATACTTGACACAAAAATTTTTATACGATAGTATTAGAAACATTACAAGAATGGAAAAAATTGACCTCACATAAATTATGCTCTTTCTCTTACACGGAACCATACATCTCACTTCCTCTATCTATAATACTTCTATAGTCAATCAACTGATTATTGAGATTCCACCACGTATATTTAGTAAACGAAAGGTATTTTAACCTTCTGTTCAGTATGTGTGTATGCGTGCGTATGTATGTAAGGATGCATAATACACACATAAGAAAACTAGTTAGTTTTTCGTTTTAGTACAATAAGAATTACCAAAAAAAATTGTATGCTCGGCAGATCGATGCACATTGCACTTTTCCCATATTTATTCAACAGGTTGTTAATATGGCGTACTCTCAAAATATTTAAACATAGGCTATATATTGGTTTTATAAAGAGGAAGAACATTGATGCATACATACTAATACATAGTTATTAGTATGTATACAAACATAAACTTAACTTTATGTTTTTTAAATTTATTTTTTTGGAGTGAAGGGAGAGAATTAAAAAAAAAGTACATCGTGTTAAGTAAATGACGAAAAAAAAAATAATAACTTTCTACGGTCATGTGCACGCATGACCTCTAAGTATTAAAAATACGCTTCATGCTAAAAAAGGAGCAAGATAGACCAAAAATAACTATTTTTTTGGGTTCTTTCAAGAGCAGAAAATCATCGTGGGGCTCAGATTGACACGTGGTGATTGATATTTAAACGTAACCTTAAATTTTTGTGTTGCCAATGTATCTTCATAAAAGTAAGATTTACAATTTTAGGAAAAATGATAACATACTTACAAAATTATTATGTGTAACAAATTAATTATGTGTATGTAACAAAGACTACAGATTACCAGGAAAAATTATTGCGTTAAAAAAATAACAAAAAACCAAATTTAATTAACAAACTTTTCTATAGTCATTTAATTTATCATCAATGTTTAACATTATTTCTATAATACATTCTTAGATGTTTGACATCTGCCAGGCGTCCTGCGATAGCTAAGTTTTTTTTAAATTTCTTCAAGCGTATGATTTTGGTTTTTTTTAATGCAAACTTGAAAAACTATTCGTTAACAAAAAGGGGAATAGATGAACAGAAAGTACTTTGATAAGTACCTCTATATGGTCCCATTGATATGACGATACATGTGTAACAAAAATTTCTTGTTATAACAGTGGTAAATTCACATAAAATTTCTAACATTTAATAAATACTGGAACTACATGTTAGTATAGTTATAATAGCTTATACATCGGCTACACAACATTTTAAAATTTACAACAAATTTAGGAGTTTTAGAGAAAGAAATAGTAGAACAAAAAGTAAAAACAAAAATAATCTTAATAATCTTTAATTAAAAGGTTAAGTAATACCTCTGTACTTAAAACATAACCTTAAGTAATACAGAGAATAATCAATAATCAAATTGAACTCGGAAATGTAAGAAACTATCTGTGATTTTGATTAATAACACACATAAACTTTTATTACTATTTAGGAAATAATACATTAGTAATTATAACGTTTTGTTGACTTAAAAAGGCACAAGGTATGTAAGGTAGCTGAAAACAAATGATTTTAACAAGTATTTTTGCTCTAGATTCAATATAAGATTAGCATTAGCTGAAGTTGCTACAACATGGATTCTACGCTAGTATCAACTTTAATATTATACAGAATTAACACTTAGGTAATACGGTATCATTGTTGAAATTTAAGCAGAATTTGAGAGCTCCAGCTTTTACTGTATTGACATTGATTCGGCATTAATTTATCATTAACTAAGCATTGATATAGAACTGATTAATTTAAAATTAACATGGATATAACGCTCAAATTAGTGCTGATTAAGCATCGATTCAGTATTGAAGATTTGAATTGGTCAAAGTTCATTAAGGACGTTACGTACAGATAGTTGTCTACGATAAATTTTTTAAAATATCAACCAAATGTCCATAGTGAAGTTATAACACACTGCGTCGAACTTCAAATCGTTTCTCTGTTTCATTTTCAAATAATTAAATTTTTAAATGTAATCATTTGAATACATACGCTTACAGAAAAATAGTTAAAAATGTAGTTGAAACAAAATTGGCTGAATGAATTTCGTTAATTTTTTGCATGGTACAGGAAATGTTATCAATTAAGTGCACATGCAATTTTACAATGAGCCACTACACTGTTTCTATCTACGAGAAAAAAAATCATAGGAGATTTAAAAAAACGATTCGATAACATCATACAGTAACCAGTGCTTATGGCATAAATCACCAGATAGTCAGGACTCGAAAACTACTTTGTGCGCACATGCATCCATTTGTGTACGTATGTATCTCCATATGCAATGACATTGCATGTTTGTGGCAGTATAAATATCTGCATACTCAACATAAATCCAACTATTCTGCGTAGCATCATCAATTCTTCACTCAACGCTATTTTTCTCTTGCCCTGTAAATATTTTCTCTCATTAACTGTATGGAACGTCCTAAATTTAAAATAAGTATTACTAAAAGCTAACTTGTGGTGCTAAAGATCTTCTGATTTGACCCAGAATGAGATGACAATTACTCATTCGTACACTTGTAGTCTGTAGTCCAATTAAAGACGTTTATTACAGTTAGCGGAGGAAAAGTTCAAACAGATGAAGGGAGCACAAACATTTAGATATGCTAGTAATTGTTTTGCTCGTATATCTATACACACATGTGTGGCCCCTCCGTCCCAGGACTTGAGGAACAAACAAAAACCACGCAAGCAGCTTCTGGTCCCACGTCAAGTCTTTGCAGCAGCACCACCGAGCAGTGCTGCCACTACCGGTCACTCCGACTACTACGGTTTTCTCAGCCACCTAAGTGTGAAGTGTTAGCATGTACTTGACAGTCTCACACAGTCATTCATACGAGACACACGCGCGTCTAGTCAGCAGTACACGCTGCTTGTACATTAAAACTCGAATAAAGTTCCTACTTTTGTAACCCTACAGGCGAGTTATCATTTCACGCCCTGTACCCAACCTTCCGCCTCTTCATCTTGGAATAGTTTCACTCATAATCCTATATATATATATATATATATATATATAAACACATGTGCATTAACGCGTACTCGACTCCCTCTTTCTTATTTCATTACAAAACCAACTAGTGGATTTTTTTGAGAATTCAATATAATGTTTCTCTTATCGTATTCTATCAAACAAAAAAAAATTGGTAGGTTTCTAAACTTGTTTTGTGTAGAACTTTTATACTACCTTATTGAAAGGTGAATATTTGAAGTAAATACCATATGATATTTTCAATTAAAAAAAAATGAAATTTTATGTGTATCAAAAATTAAAGATCTCCAAGTTTTTGTCAATGGACACCGTTAAGTTACCCAAGATATAAATGTATTTCTTAGTTTTTATTTTACTTAGTAAAAAATCGTTCAAGATTTTTGCAATATTATCCGTGTGCATATTTTATTATTAAATTCATTTTGATATTTAATTAAGATGTTCATCACTAAACATCACATCTTTTTTATAATTGTGAAATGAAGATACAGTATAGTAATTACAAAAAATATATTTGTTCTTCATCATCTTGAAAAAGTATAACTGTAAATAATTACATTAAGTTATAATGTTTCACTATGTACTAGAATTATTTTGTACTAATGATTAGACTTGAAATTAAATGTGGTCTTTTATTCTTGATCTTAACTTCGCAGTTCTGATTGTATGCACATACATTATGTTTATGTATTCAGTTTACATCCATCATCACACAACCAAGTAACTGAATTCATAGGTAAGTCAATCCAATAACTTATGTTTAAACATTTATCAACAAAGTAGGCTCACTTCATATGATCGGTATCATGTGGAATTTGTAACAAAACGTTGTTTGGTTTGAGGTACGGTTCGTTCAAAAATATAAATAAACAGGTAATGATAATAAATAAATAATATTAATTTTTCAAAAATAAAAAATTACATTTCATCTGATCCTTGGTTGAAATATTTTTAGATTCGAATAGTAAGATTAAAAGTGTCAAAATATTTATAATATAAAAAAACTTGCTTTTTTATTATTTATTGACTTTAACTGTTTACATTTTCTTAATTTGATTAATGTTCAACCCAAGAAAGATACTTTTTTTATATTTGTATGCATTTATGACAGTTGCAGTAATGGTGTAAAGTGATAATCTAAACAGTATTACAAGTATTCATGTATTTACCAACTACAACATGTTGAGCAAGTCAACTTTACAACTTGTAAACAGCGCACTATATAAATTTTGAACCTCTGACATAAGTATCTCTTACATAATAGAAGTATGAAATTTTTGTTATCGTTAAAAAGGATTTGTAATACTCGTCTCATAAATGATGTAGTCATCACCATTCAATCTTATTGTTGAGTACGTCAGTTTAATTTTCAATTTAATCCTGTACTTAAGTTCATTAAATAAAAAATATTCAAGGCTATTATTGTTTTTCTATAATAATATTGAGCACAAAAAAAATTATTCTGATGAGAGTATCACTACTACATACCTAAATTTTATCAACAGGTTTACGTATTTAAGATTTTTTTCAAATAACAATGAGCAAAATAAAATTAATTATTTCTCAACAAAAAAAAAAAAAAAAGAAAAAAGCAAGTTATTAATTTGTTTGTCACATAGTTTTTCTTGATTTTTAACAATTAGTGAGAAAAAATGAGTTCCAATCAATTATATTCACATGACCTAATGCACATACTTACATATAACTTAAGTGACATTTTTAACAATTTTTCAGGATTTTCCAAACAAAGTTATACTAGTTTTATGCAATAAAACCAACAGATTCATTTGGTATGATCTACGAATTTCTGTCAAATTTATTCATCATTTCCACTTCTTCTTCTGCTACGAAGTCGACCTGAAAATGTAAAAATGTCATGAAACTCAGTTAATGTTATAATCAAAATTTTAATTTTTTTCTTCTCTCATTTTTCTTCATTTATCAAAAAATTTCAATTGTAATAGATATTGATACCAGACAGCCCGGAACCCTATTCATACAGATACTATAATATTACGTTGGACATTTTCAGTAGAGCATATTTTAAATAACTTATTGTATGCAAAAGACCACGCTGCCTGATATGAAACACGATTGCTTCATTTTGATAAAGATGGTGGTATAGCTGCATTAATTATATTTAATGTAAGATTCTTAAAATTTCTTCCAATATATACAATCCTGAACAATCTTAATACATTTACTAACATTAAGCATTTCTTACAACAGTAAGGGTAAACAAAATTTTTTTTTTAATAATTAAAAAAGTAATTGAAAACATTATTTTTCAAAATCTACTTTCATATATTGCTGTCTATTAAACATTGTTGTGGAATATATGGTTTAAGTGTTATCAAAATTGGCTTATCATTACTTGAGAAAAGAGGTTCAGCTTAGCGTAAATTTTAAGATGCAAAGATGGAGGGGATAAAGGCTTAAGTGATGTGATATTTTTGAAGTCAAACTTATTATGTTGGGCCGTGAACAGCCGCGTGAGAGAAAAAGCGTTACGAAAAAACGTAGCCACCCAGCCTGCAGCCCAAACTTTTTCCTCAATCTTCTCTCTTACACTCTCTCCCTCTTGCTCCGTCGCTCTCTTTCGCAGCGCGCGCACTCTACTACTGTCTACTGCTCCGTCTCTCTTTCTCTCGCTTGTACTCCACGCTCTCCCTTCCCCTTACGCTACTACTATACCTATATATGTATACATATGGGTGATTATGCCGTAACTTTCTCAGATCATGTCCAGTACTTATACTCGCGTGCCGTAATGAAGTCCAAAACTTTAAAAACGTTAAATATTGTCAACTTTACTAGATACATTGTCTTATACCGATATATTGACCCCTTCATTAAGATAATCGATCATTTAGATTCGAATTTTCCATTCCAGCACATGTCCGCAACTAAATTTCACTCATGAAAGCTTTCAAAGGTAAAAAATAAGGCTTATCTGCCACTTGGGCGTGTAAGCATTACATACTCCAGCTATTGGTGATTAGCTTTGTACTTTAGTTACACTAAAAATCGACAAAGACGAAGGAGTTTTTACTGCATACATTTTGTCAGTATATTTGCCCCATAATCGCAGTTTTAACAAAAATCAGTTCAAACGAGTAACTTTTTAGATTGGAAATGCTAACCAATCGTCACTTTTCAAAGTATAGGACTAAAATAAACAAATCGTTACCACAGTAGGGCCAGAAGTTGTTACCTCTCGAATAGCCAAGTTCTTCTTTTTGCGTATTTCGAGCGTACAAATATTTCATTCCGTTCCAACCCCTCATGGAACAACCACTCAGTGTGCATGTACAGGTACGCAAACTACAGTTTCTCATTGCACTTGAGGCTAGTAAATAAAGTGTGGGTGGACAAGTCATTGTAATACGTCTATGAGTCGTACGAGCACTACAAACTTTGAAAATTCCATTCTGAACTTTTCCATTCCGACCCTACCTCACCTCAAAGTGCCGTTTTTTTTGTTTTAGAGCAACTAATCTTGGCAAAACTTTTTTTTTGTCATTGTTAGTCTAAAAGACGAAACACGTGTCTCGGGATTTCATCTAATTGGCCTTTTTTCGCTACATATATGCAGAAACGGTGGTGCGGCTTCCAACGTTGGTAGCCAAGTGGTGAACTTTATTAGGTGGTTTGATCTAGGCTCCAATGAAAGCAAAAACATAGTCCTAATGATTAAAACAAAAATCTTTGAACTTTAAGTCCCCAATAGAAATTTGAAGTGATTTTATGAAAAATTGTGAATTTTGGTCAAAATCACATTATATATTTACGCTCTAATTAAAATAGCTGTAACTTTTGAATGGAGGTACTAAATCGAAGAAAATTTTTTTTCAATCGATAGGTCTTGATCCCAGCTTTCATTTGTATCCAGTAAGGACACTCGAACTGTTAAAGGAGCTTAAATACACGTCTTAGAAAGAGATACAATTTTTTTGAAAATCGATGAAAACTAACTTTTATAAAATTTCGTTCAACTTTTGACCAGCAAACTTTGTAATTGCATCACTTCAGACGTTTGTTACTAATGTTGTGTACCATGTAGAAATACCATTCAAAAAAAATTTTTTTTAACCAACTTTTTTTCAAACTATTTTTCAAGTCGATCTGAGCTAGTTATGGTAGAATTACCCATATATTATAGGTATGTTAGTAAGTAAGTATGTATGTTTCTAATGTTTCTAAGCTACAACTCAACCTCAACACTAAGCTGATGCACTGTTGCTCAAGCTGAGATATAGCTATCGAGAAAAGGGAATAGAAGAGAAAAAGAACAGCTGTAGAGGCGAAGAATGTATATTGTATATATATATGATCGATAGTCATATATATGTATGAGTTGCACGTTCCAGTCATTATACGTATGTTCATATGTATACATGTATATAAAAAAACGAGTATTAAATATGTATTATGTGACAACCTTACTTTTGAAAACAAGAAAAAAACGCTGTATCTTGACAGGGAAGCAAAATTGACTAAAAATAAAAATTTTTTCCGGGTTACCCAAAGGGAAACTACATAGTTGAAGTGCACAAATATAGAGGAGTTGGACTACGCACAAAGCATAACCTTAATTACTTCTTTTTGTGACTGAATTTTGAAAAGAACGGGTAAAATAAACTTTATTGGAAAATAATGGAAATGCCGTATTTGGAAAATAAATATGGACATATACAAAATCTTCGAAAAATTGTTGTTATAACATAAACCTTTCAAAATTCTAAAAACAGTCACATCTTGAAAAGGAATCCAGCTAGGCCAAAAATAATTTCACGCATAGAAAATAATTATTAAAGTGCAAAAAAATATGTTACACGGATTCATACAAACAATCGTAATAATTATAAAAATAGTAAGCTATATCTCAAAGGCAAAGCTACATCCTACATATCCTAGCTATAAATTAATTAATTTTCTATTACTTATCATATATTATAAGAATAATTGTCACGTGACAAAAACCTGTACTCTTGTTATTAATTTGGAGATTAGTAGAAATTAGTTAGGACGTGTAAATTTTAATATTAAATCGTAAATAGTCATAGATAACGAATTGAATGAGAAAATACAACTTAACAATGGAAAATAGCTATATGTCTTTTGTGTTCCTTAATCTCAATAGTGAATTATTTTACTTTCATGGTAGCCAAAATCAAAAAAATTTTTATTTGTCAGATATAATGATTCTAACAAGAATTGATAGTATGATGTCATATCAAATGCACGAACTTTATATAAAAGTAATTTTTGTCCCGCGTAACTGGACAAAAGTACCTTTTTTTGGGGCGCTATGGTGAACATTTTTGTTTTTTTCTGTATTACATGACCATAAATTCGTAAATATATTAATACATATATTATAGTAAAAATGGAAGTACTTAGAATGTTTGAGTCACATGTTACATAAGTATATGTATTTTATGCACGTGTGTGCTCGAATACGTAATAATAATGAAATTTTCACTATTTTAATGTTGGATTCTTAAGGACTTTTTAAAATCTGGTGTAATCTAATTTTTTCAGATTGTCTTATATCTAATTTAATAATATTTAAGTTGGAAGTTTCACTTCTGACAGGGGTCCCGAGACCCACACCTGGTTTTTTTTGTCATAAGAAGCAAAATATAAAATTTGCGTGTTATTTGAAGGGGAGAGTTGACACTTTTTATTTATAAGTTATGTAGATTGAAAAAACCTGATGTGTGTTAGATTAGACGGAGAAACTTAGCAAAAAGATAATAGTTAATTGCAACACATGAAAATAAATCTCCTACATTTTTTGAGGAGCGTATTCCTACTTTGTGTCATATCAATTCTTACACATGTGTTGCACAACTTTACGTTTCACTATCTTTAAACCTTGTGACTAACTAGAAGACTTATAAATCTTAAGTCTGCGATAGTCCCTCTACAATCGCTCTACAGCCTTTCACAAGATAAAAGAAAATAAGTCAAATATCTGTGTAGTATTGTTTCAATACAGTAAAATTTTAGTGAACCACCGTCCAAACATCTTCAGCACCACCGTAAGGCCCCTACTAAATAATCAGAGTCTACTATAATCCTCCACATTTTTTTCTTTGTCTACTAAATAGTATCATTGTTTTTGTAAAGATGTAATTGATTTCTATACTTCCACATGACGCAAGAAGCAAACAAATTGGCTTAATACTCGCAAGTGATAAAAATTGTTTTGATCAGACCAAATTTCCCTAATTTTCATTGAAGGAGCTAAGGCCCATCGCCATTTTTCGTTGCTACGATTATTATTACATAAATGTCAATAAGTTGTAATGGGAAGGCATCGATATCAATACATCTAAATTGAAATGTTTTTATCAAATCTTTTAGAAAAAAAATCCGAGAGAGGAAAAAAAATACTGCGAGAAAAAAAACTTCTTGTGCTTTTTGAAGCCTAACTNTTTATATTTATCATAAAAATCAAACTCTTTCTACGTTTAATTCAGCTACGAAAATCGTAAAAACTGTACAAGTAAGAATTTATTACTATTACTAAAAAATTATAAAATTTATTGCTAATAATTTATTTGTTTATGAAGTATTTTTAATCAGATACTAAAATTAAGGTTTTCATGTTTAAAACCCACGAAATTCAGGGTTAGAGCAATTGTACATTGATGTATTCGAGAAATTTAAATTTCGTGAACGCATGCGTATTCAATGCTTGCACTTGACAATGTATGTGCGAAGACATGGTAGAAAAGCTCATTTTTTCTAGTAAGAGCTTTAAGGTGCAAAACTGAGATTGAGACAGGGTAAAAAAGTGACTTTTTGCCTTATAATCAGATAACCCAACAAGCCTCCCTCAGAATTTT